GTATGAAGAACTACACTATAGTAATGATATAGGGGAACTCAATGGGGGGATTGGGGAGGGGAAGAGGGGATTCCCAGGAGCCTGTGGAACTGTATCATAACATGATGATAATAATAATAATAATAAATAAATAAGATAACTCCCCAGAATAAGCCCATTTTTCTGATTAGGAACAGATTTTCATAGGAAATCTGATTATTTGCTTATAGGACTTATTTCCAGTGATGAAAAATTCAACTGAAACCAGTACTTCAAGGTGTGGTTGAACTCAAAATGCCAAAATAAGATTATTACAAACAAAGAGTCATTTATAATTATACTTCATCTTGAAGAAACTGCTCCATGATTTGGAAAAAGAGAAATGCATGAAAAATGCATTTCCATTTTAAAAATTGTCCTCTTTCCCTCTGACCTTTTGCCCATTCTAGCATTGATTTACATCTCAAATGGACATATTTTACATGTGAGACTATACATTTCTGACTCCGGGTGCTAAGTCAGAGATATACTGCACCCTGGTTCCCTTTCTTTATATTGTAACTTTTAAAAATAAATTGAAAAAAAATCAGTGTCCACAAAAGAAGTATTACATAACTCAATGGAAAGAGTTAAAACTGGGGTGGATATTTGATTTACTAAGATGCCAGATGGAACCCTCCATCCTTCCAAAGGGTTTCTGGGTCCACTTCCTTGCTCGTACCGCTAAGCTGAAGTGAGGTCCTGGGAAAGAGATCCAGGTCTTCCACCAGCAAAGCGGGAATCTAGTTACTTGAGCCATTACCACACCTCTTCGGGTCTGACTTCGCAGGGAGCTGCAATTAGGTGCTGGAGACAGGAAGGGATTGCCGACTGTCTTGGCAGTTGGCACTGTAACTGGTGACTTAACCACTAGGCTAAAGGCCTTCTCTCTACTGTTAAGCCTAATTTCCTTTTCTTACTATAGTGCATTCTTCTCTGTAACTCTTACGAAGGCATACTACACTTAAATATTCCCCAAAGTTTGTTCTCTAAATGCTCTAAGCACCTGCTTTAGTTATCTTAGGTTTAGTTCCCTCAGTGGATGTGGCACAACAAGCATTTACCTAGGTGTGCAAATAAGAAGCAATGATTTCTACCAGGTGTGTAATTTCCCTTCTACTTTATAAGTCGTTTTTTCATCCAAACTCCCAAGATATTTCATATGACCCACACTTACCATTGCTGGGTAGAGCAGGGCAAGAAACAGACTTTTCTCTCAAGTTTTTATCTGGTAAAAAAAAAAAAAGAAGTAAATTGGTAACAAGGATTGTTTCTAACTGTGGAAACACTTAAAGGAGAGCTTGCCTGTGGTAGGCAGCTTCAGAGAAAAAGTCTTTGGCAAATAAAACAGCCCAAAGTTAACAGGAATTCATCCGGACTACGTCGTGGATCAGTACAGAATCATAATGGGATAAAGAAGACAATAAATGAATGACCCAAGATTATGGAAGCTCAAAAACAAGAGGCTCCAGGCCACCCAGACTGAGACATTGTTCGACTAGTCCCATGGGGCAGGAGAACTGGAGCTCAGAAATCCTCCCTCAGCATCTATCTATTGTTGCATGGTGCCACGAAGTCACTTCACTAACCCTTTCTACTGTAATTACGAAGTCAGAATCGCCTGCAAGCGTTTGCTGTAAAGATCCTCCCATTCAGAGGGAGGCAGCAGCAAAGAATGATGCTTTTCAGCTATATTTAGTTTGCTTTTTAGCTTCCTTTTAATAATTCTGCTTGTGATATCCCTGAGAAACAAATAATTTCTAGGGTACAAGCTGTTAAAAAGCTTCCCCCCCCCCTTTCTTCCTTTTCTCCAATTTTTAGCTCTTTCATATAGGACTGAGGAAATTTTTTCTGCCAAGGACTGTTTGGTTATTTTTGTAATGATTTGCAGGCCACACAAAACTGTACACTGAAAATTAACATGCTATAGATTTACTGAATTTTGATCCCACCTGCAGCTGGCTTGGCAGGGCCAGGATAAATTTCAATGACCTTCTGTTCTACAGAATACGTAGTTCCCACCCCTGCCTGGGTGAGCCTGATTTAGAACTCACAAGTTTCATTCTTACACAATCAGAACTTCTTAGTTAGGAGTGGTGTCTTACATCAGCATCCTGAGTCTGTGGTTCAGATTTTTGTTACCTGGTTTGTGACTTGTTGTTCTTTCTGGTCGGCTACCTGGATGGCCTCATGGAATCTTCCCGTTTGGTTTTACAGGTGAAGCCACAGTCAGACAATGAACACTCTTACATTCCTACAGGGCTCAAGAGGCTGGGCAAAGTCGAAAATTGCCTTACATTTTTTTTTATGTCTTGTATATTAAAGAGTAACTATTAAATACTGGAAAATGTCATTCTCTATTTATGCAAATGCATAATTTATGAAGAAAGCTGTCCATTTTGCATCCTTTATGAAAACTACCTATTGTTTCACTGTAATCTGCCCGTGTTTACAGGCAACCAGAAAACACTCAACCAGGAAG